CGAGGTCGCGCTCGAGCATCTCGAGGTACTCGCCGTCGCGGCGCTCCTCAGCCACCCTAATCTTGCGCCAGTACTCGAGGTATGCCTGCTCCTGCGCCGGCGTCGCTCCCATCCAGACCGGCGGCGCGCGTACCCACTCGCGCACTACTCCCGTCCAGGAGTAGCGCTCGATGGGGGACGGCTCCCGCTCCGGCTCCGGCTTGATGGGGGACGGCGGGGCCACCGGCGGCACCATGTTGTCGCCCGCCGCGGAGAGGGCAAGGGCATGCGCCATTGCCGCCTCGTACCGAGCCTCCTCTTTCGCCTCCGCCTTGCGCCGCTCGTCCTCCTCGCTCTCCCGGCAGATGGCCGCAAGGGCCGCCTGGTAGGCATCCTTCGCTGCCTGGTCCTCCTCGCGGACGACGAGCGCCGGTGGCGGCGACCTCCGGTCGACCTCGCGCACGCCCCGTCGCCTCGCCTCCTCGTACTCGAAGGCGAACCATCTCGCCCAGTTGGGCAAGTCGGTTGCGTAGGCGGGGTCGCGACGCTGCTCCGGCGTCAGCAGCGCCCGCCGGCGCCGCACCTCCTCCGCGTGAGCACGAGCCGACCGCGGGGCCGCCGGCACTGGGATCCTATCTGGATCCAGATGCCAGTCGTGCGGTAGCGTCACGTCGGGATACGGCAGAGGCTGGCGGTGCTGCTAGTGCCACTCCACCTGGTGCACTGGCACGTTCACGCGCTGCCTCTGCCGGCGAGGCGCCGGCGCCGGCGGGGGCGGGAGGAACTCTGAGGGGAAAGGGGTGGCGGGGGACTTTCCCTTGGCCTTGTTGTCGTTGGCGTCGGAGAAGAGGCTCATCTCGATGTGGTTGTGGTGGCTAGGGTTTGCCGGCGACGAGGGAGCAAAGGATGGCAGATGTGGACGGCGAGTTTGGATGAGGACGGCCCTGCCGCACGGTCGACTTAAAAAAGGACGAGTGACGTCGCTGACGCGTGGGCCCGTCGTCAGAAATTAAGCTGACCGCGTGGGCAACGGGTAGTTGGACGGCCGCCATGTGGGGACGCGGCGGATAGCGAGAAGGCACGCGAAGCGTCCGTTCGGCGTCCGCGCCGATGCATTTGGGGCGCAAATTTGGGCCGCAAATGCGTCGGCGCGAATGCGGTGCGGACGTGATTTGGGTTTCGGTTGGCGCGTTGGGCCGCCACTTTTGTCCGCGCCGACCCAAACGGACGCAGGCGGACGAAATGGGTCGTCCCTTTGGAGTTGCTCTCAGGGGAAACATTTTTGGCGCAAGGCTGCCGCCGGTCAGCCTTCCATTGATTCCTCACCGGCAGCGCAGTGAAGGCGCGTTGATGCGCATCCTGCCCTCTCCCGCCACGCGTACACATGCATGTTGCCCGCTTGTCGCCCACCCGCCGCTATAAAAGCCGCCCTCCCTCGCCGGTGGCCGCACACACTCCTCTCCCCCCTCACCGAAGACGACCCTCTCGCCACCGACGCCCCCTTTCTCCCAGCCAACGCTCCTCCTCCGACAACAATGGTCGAGCGCTACCCTGGCGACGGTGTGCCGCCCAATGGCTTCGGTCGCCGACGCCTGCATGAGGACGAGGCTCGCCTCCTCTACGAGGCGGACTACCTGGCCCCGCCGGACATAGGGCTCAGCGTCGGCGACGCCGTGATCGCGCGCATCCGGTCGTCGTTGCCGAAGCAGGTGCGAAACCAGTCGAGGTATGCCCCCGACAGCAACACGTTGTGGACGGCGTATTTCGACCGCCGCCACGAGGAGCAGCTCGCCTCCACCAATGGTGTCGAGCCCCGCGGCCGCCTCAACTCCGAGGGGCGGCGCCAATGCTGGGGCGTCCCCGGCCGCACCCTCGAAGCCGTCCTCGAGCACATCGAGGCCAGCAACATGCCGTGATTGGAGTACCCAACACCTTCCTCCTTCTATCGCCGCCGTGACAGCTCTTGGACGCCGCGGCGAATGGAGGCGGCGTCCTCCTCGTCGTGGGGCTCCCTTTCCTTCGGATCACCGGTGCTCCGTCCCGTTAAGCCAGAGCCACAGGAGGCGCCGCCCTCGTCATCAACGAGGGCAGTCGTGGCCCTCTCCTTCCTCCTCCCGCCTCGTCAGGCCGAAGACCAAGCCGGGGCTCGTCACCGTGAAGAAGGAGCACGAGACCATAGCCGCCGACAAGGAGACCAGACTGAAATGGGCACGGGACGACTACATCCAGCAAGATATGGAGCGCCATGAATCGGCAACGCAGGCCGGGGGTGCAGCAAGGATAGCGGCGGTGTGTAGGACGATGACGACGACAACGGCGGTGACTACACCAATTCTACAAGCTACTCGGATGTAGAAGACGGGCGGCGGCTAGTAGTAGTAGTTGTTGTTTTTAGTTTTCTTTTTAGATTTATGTTTTCAATCTGTACAAATATCAATAAAACACCTAAATTTCCTCCAAATTTGTGACGTGTTTGACGAATTTTGACCGAGTTTGATTTTTAAAAAACGGCATCTAAGGTGGCAGTTGGGAAACCAACCACCCTATGCCGATTTTTTCGCCGGCACGCCCTCACACGACGCTATTTCAATCTCCTAAGAGACCGAACCGCTGGAGATGCTCTGAGGTGAGGCCGAGAAGAGGCTCACACCCAGGCGAGTGACGAGCACCCCGGCCGAAACAAGACTCGACCGTGGGTTCTCGAGACAACACGTACGCACGCGAATCTCACGACTTCCGAGCCCAAAAGTCTCGAGTCGAGTCGCGCTCTGTTTTCCTGGCTCGGCTTAACTCGATCCCATCTCACATATTTTTGCTTTCCGGAGGAGGAAAAAGGTGTGCCTCTCCTTTCGCGCTCCTACCCCGAGCATGCACCCGCCACCAGCCGCTGCCCGCCCGCTCCCACGCACGCACACAGAGAGACAGACACACCGTCCTCCTCCGTCCACCCCCCATGTCGCCTTCCCGCCTCTCTCCCCTCCCCTTCCCTTCCCTTGCCTTGCACGTCACTTAAGACTCAACCCAAGCAACCAGCGCGAGCTCCTCGGCAGCAGTACAGTCCAAGCAACACCCGTCCCGTCGTCATCGTCTCGACCCCGTCCCGTCCGCCTCACACGAGCCCGCACCCGGCAAGAGCCATTTCTTTTCTCCCCGGCCCACCTAACCTCGCTCCCTCCCCACCAAACGCCCCCTCGGCCGATCCTTCCCCCCCTCCCTCCACAGCCGGCGGTGCTATTCGATCGGTCCATTGATCGAGCTCGCTCGCGGAAATGGGTGGCGCGAGGCAGTTCTTGGCTGCCCTGCTGGCGGTTGCCGCGGCGGCGGCGATGGTGGCGCCGGCGCGGGGGCGGTTCGTGGTGGAGAAGAGCAGCGTGAGGGTGCTGGCGCCGGAGCACATCCGGGGCCACCACGACGCCGCCATCGGCAACTTCGGCGTGCCCGACTACGGCGGCACGCTCACGGGCGTCGTGCTCTACCCGGACAAGAAGGCCACCGGCTGCGCCGAGTTCCCGGCCAGGTTCAAGTCCAAGTCCGGCCGCCCCGTCGTCCTCCTGCTCGACCGCGGAGGTACACCCACCACAAGCTCGCTCAGCAATTATCTTCAGCTAGCCATTAACCCTGCTGATTTGATCGATTGATTCTGGCTCCGGCTAATTCTCACGGGGAAGACATTGCCGATGCGCGACTGACTATGCGAGCTTGAATTGTTCGACGATTTACGGTGCCGCCGAATTTATTTATTTTTCCATCGGTGATGTGTTAACTGGGAAGCTACTGGGAGTAGTACTAATACATTAGCCTGTTACGTACGCATGTTAATTAATTTAGTGCTGGTGGTAGTATTTTAAACCTGTTGATGTAGATATATCTCCAACTCAGATATGAGAGATTTTCACAAGCTTTTAAATCTGCGGTGGGGAAAGGGACTTTACGAACAAAGATAACTTTTGCCGTGTTCCATTTAGTCAGTTGTTTTGTACTAAAAGGTAGAATCAGGCGACTTTTCTTGGTTGGGTGTCATGTAAGTGGCCAAAAATTCGAATTCAAACGAAATTTACAAAAAAAGGTACCAAATTCAAACGCACATCGTCCTACTGCTCGACGGTGGAGGTAAATACACACTTTTGATGATGCTAGTCTATGATTTGCCTTATTAGTGGTTTTGGCTAATTCTCATGAGGAATGAACTGTTGAAGTTCATGTCAAAATGAGATTACTCATGTTTAATTGATTGCCGGTGATTTATGGCGAGTTTATGTCAATATCTTGTTAAACGTCAGAGCTCTGCTATTGATGGGTTAAGTCAATGTGCTAATCTTAAATAGGCAAACATGCTAATTACTTTAGTGCCACTAGTCGTCTTTTTTTCCTTGTTTTGTGATGTGGATTGGTCTCCAACTTAGATATACGAGAGACATTGTGATCACAACTTTTTAAAACTGCCGTAGGGGAAGGGAGTTCACAATTCTGATCTGCTAGTGGTCACTGGAAAAGGTAGAGTCAGGCAACTTTTCTTGGTCGAATATCATGTAGCCAGTCAAAATTTTGAATAGTGACGAAATTTATATAAAAAACACCAAATTCAAATGCAAATCTGTGGAAACATGCCAAATTAAAACGGAATTTGTAAAAGATTAAGCTAATATTTCCCTGATGGATTATCTTCACTGTCTGCGTCAACGGTTTCAGATAACTGCCTGGCCTGACAGTTCTGAACCCAGAAAGCGAAATGAGTAGATACAGACATGCACGCAGTACACACTTATTATACAGCCGTTGCATTTGTTGGTACCCATTTCATTTTGATCCAACCGTCCCAACGCACCTGATCACAACACTTCCACTACCAACTCCAATCAGTTGGTGCCGCAAGCAATTCCTTCAAGCCAAAGACTGCATCAGACAGACCAGCAAAGAAAGAATTCGACATTTTCCTTCAAGCATCAGATCAACTACTATCTGTTTCATCATCCTTCCTTGATTGATTTCCAAGCAAAGAAAGGAAGAATTCCACACTTTCATTTTGTGTAGTAGTAACAAATAAAAAGATGAATTCTGGTACGGAACCCTAGCTGTAAATTGACAACAATTTGACTGGCGTTTGTACTGTCCCACCAGAGTGCTACTTCGCGCTCAAGTCGTGGAACGCGCAGCAGGCGGGCGCGGCGGCGGTGCTGATCGCGGACACGGTGGACGAGCAGCTGCTGACCATGGACACCCCCGAGGCGTCCCCGGACACGAGGTACCTCGACAAGCTCAACATCCCGTCGGCGCTGGTGAACCGCGCCTTCGGGGAGTCGCTGAAGCGGATGGCGGAGAAGGCCGACGCCGAGGGCGAGGTGGTGGTGAAGCTGGACTGGCGGGAGTCGATGCCGCACCCGGACGAGCGCGTGGAGTACGAGCTCTGGACCAACAGCAACGACGAGTGCGGCCCCCGGTGCGACGAGCAAGCGGCCTTCGTCAGGAGCTTCCGCGGCCACGCCCAGATCCTGGAGCGCGGCGGCTACGCGCGCTTCACCCCGCACTACATCACCTGGTACTGCCCCGAGGCGTTCCGGCTCACGCGCCAGTGCCAGTCCCAGTGCATCAACCACGGCAGGTACGTACGCCATTGCCGGTCTAGGAAGCTTTCTCTGGTACATGTCATGGCATGGCAAGGAACAATGCGGTTACCGGGTGTGCAGGTACTGCGCGCCGGACCCGGAGGAGGACTTCGGGGAGGGGTACGAGGGGAAGCAGGTGGTGGTGGAGAACCTGCGGCAGCTGTGCGTGCACCGGGTGGCCAACGAGAGCGGGCGGCCGTGGGCGTGGTGGGACTTCGCCATGGACTACAAGCTCCGGTGCTCCATGAAGGAGAAGAAGTACAGCAAGGCGTGCGCCGAGGAGGTGGTGGCGTCGCTGGGGCTGCCGCTGGAGAAGGTGCTGGCGTGCATGGGCGACCCCGACGCCGACGCAGACAACGCCGTGCTGTCCAAGGAGCAGGAGGACCAGATCGGGCGCGGGTCAAGGGGGGACGTGACCATCCTGCCCACGCTCGTCATCAACGACGTCCAGTACAGAGGTTGGTTGGCTGGCTGTCGCTGCATGCAGATTTCTCCGGCGACGGGAGAGGTGAGGGTTTGACGTGATGCTGTTGTTTGGGCGTGCAGGGAAGCTGGAGAGGACGGCGGTGCTCAAGGCCGTGTGCGCCGGCTTCAAGGAGGGGACCGAGCCGCAAGTCTGCCTCAGCCATGGTAGGCGCCACCAAGGCCTTCATTTCCATTCGAACTGCCGGTCAGACAAGACGGCGAAACGACGGTGAACTTCTGACGAGCTTTTCTCTGCAGGCATGGAGACGAACGAGTGCCTGCACCGGAACGGCGGGTGCTGGCGGGACGAGGCGACGAACGTGACGGCGTGCAGGGACACGTACCGGGGCAGGGTTTGCGAGTGCCCGGTGGTGAACGGCGTCCGCTACGACGGCGACGGGTACACCCACTGCAAAGGTACCTACCTGCACTTTTCTCCTCTCGATAACGCTAGGAAAATACCACCGGAGGTTCACGGTGAGGTTACATGTTTGCTCGGCTGTTTGTTTCAGCTGTTGGTCCGGGCAGGTGCGCGCTGAACCACGGCGGGTGCTGGGCGGAGACCAAGGGGGAGCGCACCTTCTCCGCCTGCTCGGTACAATACAACCTCCTCCTTCCCCTACTTCTAGCCTTCAGAGTTTCACTTAGGAAACCTCTGAACCTCATCGTCTACCTATGAACCTGTCCATGATCTCTGCTAACCCATGAATGGTGGTGCCAGGACACGGCGCTGAGCGGGTGCCGGTGCCCGCCGGGGTTCCAAGGCGACGGCCACAAATGCGAAGGTAAGATCTCGCTCCGCCAATTCCTCGCTGAGACTGACATGAGACATGATCGAGAGAGGGTACTAACAGAGCCGAGTTTCAGACCTGGACGAGTGCAAGGATAAGCTGGCGTGCACCTGCCCGGACTGCCACTGCAACAACACCTGGGGCAGCTACGAGTGCGGCTGCAGGGGCAACCAGGTGTACATCCGCGGGGAGGACGTCTGCGTGGCAAACAGCATGTCCAGGTTCGGCTGGCTCGTCGCCCTCCTCGCCGTCTCCTGCGCCGCCGGCCTAGGGGTCGCCGGCTTCATCTTCTACAAGTACAGGCTCAGGGTATGTATGTTCAGCACCGTCCTTCTCCCCAGAGCAAATGGTTAACCAAGAAGACCTCTAGTGCAACAGGGCAAAAACTGACTCTGTGTTTCATTTCCTACTAGTCGTACATGGACTCGGAGATCATGGCCATCATGTCCCAGTACATGCCGCTCGACAGCCAGAACAACGAGCACCAGCCGCTCCGGCAGCATGCTCCAGACGCCTAAGGTAATCAAATCATTCAACAGATGAACTGTTTTTGGGCACTAAAACATCCCTGAAAATGATTCAGGCTTCTGCATCTTATGAACAGGCAACAGATGGAAAATGGATCTGGGAATGAAAGCTTGCAGAGTTTTCATCAACCATACCCGGCAGATACTTTGCTATCATGCTTTTCAATGATTTTTTTGTTACTACAACTTCACTTTCTATATATAGAAGAAACAAGAGAACCATGGTTTGTACAAAGCAAGGCACAGGGGTGAGCTGTAGATACATAGCTAGGTAGGCATTTCTGCTCCCCTTGTGGCTGTGGATCACAACACATTAGACAGAATACTTTCACTAAGAACATACAAAGTGTGATGTACAATGGATTATAACCAATACCAGCACTGGTGTTTCTGTCATTTTTAAGGTCTGTTTTCTAGAATGCCCTCATCGGAACACCGGGGGCTCTACTGTGACATGTATCAATACTGTTGTAAGTGCTACAGTTTCAGAATCAATGGTAGGCATGCAGTTGATAACTTGGTACTTCTAGTAGGTCCTCACTGGTAACCCGACTTTATTAGTAGCTGCGTGAGCTACCATGCGTCGTCCTACAATCCATTCCATGGACAGTGGAGCATCACCAGGCTCTAGGTTTGTCCACGTCGATCGACGGGTCCATGATGTGATTCTGGTGACCCTATTTGGCCACAAGACTTGTGTACCCTGAAAACAGGACTCCATGCTGACTCCCTTGCCAAATAAATACCATTTTATTTCTAAAATGGTCAAAATATGTGATCCATATTACAAGAGGAAACAGACCACGCCACGATCATTCAAGCATCCATTATCTCATTAGTGCCTTAAAGAGGTAAGAGAGTTTCAGGGTTGTCATAAACAAATGGCGACGGCACTTCTAGAATCAAAATGATGATAGGAAAATCTCCCAAAAGAAATATCCACTTTCCCAGTGATTTTATTTGTCTAACTACCAGCCTGTAGAAAGAAGACGGGCTGCATGGATTGAATATAACATTACACCTTCTCTCAAAACAAGGAAAATCCGCTAAATCTTCTTAGGGGCTAAATGAGATCTTACAACAGTGTATCAGAAGCCTTTTACTTGTATTGCTCTGAAACTTCACGAACAAACTTGTCCATGAATTGACACTTCTTGTCAAAACCCCAGCCAGGATTATTCTGCAAAACACAAGATGGCACAGCCGAATAGTAGCTGAGTAGCAAGCAGGAAGCAGGTTCTGTCTAAGAAAACAAAAGATACGAATACTGAAATACATTAAGTATCAACACATAAATTATCCTTTTAAGGTACTATCTAGAACAGCACACTAAGATGTGAAATGCAAACAATTATCATCTTTTTCCTTCAAAAACTATGGAGACAAATGGCATTGCATATTTTGAGTTTACGATGCTAGCTGCAAATATTTCAATATGTGATGCTTACATATCCATAAGCAGTTTATAACAAGCTGACTTTTAGCATATGTGCTTAGCCAACTTCAAAGTTAGATAGTATCAACGCCCACTACGAGCCTTCAAAAACTATGGCCCTTTGGTTGTAAGATAGTTGTTGGTAGACTTTGCCACATAGGATTTTTGATGATGTGTCATGCAATAAATGAGGAAAGAGAGGAATGTTGTATGTACATGAACCAACACCCATTGCACAAGCTCCAATGTAGAATGAGAGAGCACCTTATTTATTATCTCACATCCTATTGGGCATACTAGATACAACCCATTGGAGATGTTGTATGTTAAGATGTTGGTTGATGACATGGCATATTTTACCAACAAGCTAACATACAAACTGTTGGAGATGCTCTTATAGATGTATCTGACACCCATAGACATACAGCTAGATAGGGGATGTTCAAAGACCAGAGTTTTTTTCCGGAAGAGATCACGGCCGTAGTTAAAATCTGTTTGATATCCTAACAGAAGGCTGATCTATTTTTAAACAAGGTGACTATTAATGGTTATGTTAGAACCAGCCAAATAAGACAAGAATCATGTTGCTTCCGTTACAACTAAACATTCAGCAGCTCAATTACTCAAAAGGCTAAATTGATTGACTCATGATACTATGCTGTCTAGAGCATCAGTTGTAATAAGAAGGCTAACCTTGAGAGAAAGTAAAGTTTTATCAGTAAACCGCTTTACTGAATTGGGTATGTTTTCTGGAAGAGTGTTGGCAACCCTTTGCAACTCCCCTTCTTGCTGTATTGCAGTTACGACATCAGGCCCGCTGTACATATCTATCAGCTCTTTCATATGGGGTGCCCTTTTCATGATATCTTCCACGGCATCCTAAGAATGATACAGTAGATTAGTGGGTCAGTTGAAACCCTAAAAAGAACTCATATGGCAGCAAAGTGAATGCAAGTATACAACTGTGAACTGCTAATGTATATATGTAATTTGAAATTTAGGGCACACTAAAAGCTGAATTCTAAAATCAGAGATGCTTCTTTCTACAAATCTGGTCAGTATCTGGAAAGTATAACCGTCTTACCATATTAATGATGAAACTATTGAGACGTTCATGCCTTTCTGGAAAGATAATCTACAAAACTTAAATCCAATGTATTTGGCAAACTACCTTTATTTGGAACAGGAAACTCATCTGATAGTTTAGCAGCTTAACCTTATCAGCCAGGTCGAACCAGAAAATTGACCTTGGAAAGTTAGATATTCTATGTGAACCTCATACTGACTCCAGATCATTTACAAAAATATGCATATCAGCTTATAACACTAGAACATTATCAAAGTAGATCTGAGATTTAACATCAAATCTACAAATACCTTTTCGACCACGATCTAGGTAGTTCTATATGTATACTACTGGACAAAGTTAGGGGAAGTTTGATTGCCAACACACGAGGATATAAATTGCAAACTGAAGCTGTACTATTTTGATATTATTCTCTGGTCCATAATTTATTTATCAAGTCTAAAGCAGGCATTCTTATATCATCCAAATAAAGATATGGACCCATTACACAAGCTATAACAGCAAAGCAAGGTAAAAAAGCCTTGTCCAGTAGACTTACTCTGCCACACTCTGATGTATTTGGTTACTAGTTGCAGCAAATACAAGATATCACACAGAAAATATCTATTTGCACAAACATTTCCAGGGTGAAACAGATATGGCATGAGGACAGTTAAACAAATCACCTGCCATTCTTCCTGGTCCTGGATGCCTTCATAAGCAACTATGAATGGCTTTACTTTCTGCAGCATCTCCTCCAATGACATAGGCGGCTTCTCCTCAATATCAGGATTAGCAAAGCTCACATTGTACTCTGGCTCAAACTCAATCTGCACACGCAAACATCCAAAGATAAAAACCCATCAGGGATCCAACAAGCACACACAGATCTTATAATTTTGATAACTCTGATGCAGTGCAGAGCGCACCATGTTATTGGTATGAATAGCGTTGAGAAGCGCGTCATCAATCGGCAGTGGCAGTGCCTCATCTGCTGCCTCATCGAACGCCTCATCCCAAATCTTCATTTTCTCAGGCCCGAGCCGCTTCTCGAGTTTCTCACCATCAGCGTTGTCACCCAAGAAGACCTTTTCCCGCTCGTTCACGTCAGCAGGCCGACCACGGCCACCGTCCCGGCCACCTCCGCGGCCCCCACGCCCCCCTCTGCCGCGTCCACCGCCAGTATCGCCACGGCCAAGGAGCTCCAAAGCACGCTTCACAGCCTCCTGTGGCGCCAATCTCGGCTGCCCGCTTGGAGCCGAAGGGGTCGGAGCTTTCCTTGCCTCGCGGCTTCGAACGAAGCGGTTCTCCTCGGGGGCCCTGTCCACCGGTGGCTGCACACGCGGCACGCCGCGGCCCGCGCCGGAGGTAGGGATCGAACGCGGCGGCTCGGATGAGGAGGAGGCAGCGGTGGCTGGCGGCTCCGGATCGGAGGGGGGAGGGACGGAGTCGAAGCGCTTTGCGAAGGTGGGTTGCTTGGGGGCATCTTCGTCGGATGGCGGCGGCGGCGGGGGCAGCGGGGATCCGCGACCGCGGCCGGCGCCGGAGAAGGACGAGAAGGACGGGGTGGTGGGGGAGGGCGGGATCACGGGCTCCCCGCGGCCACGGCCGGCAGAAGATGGTGCGGCGAAGAGATCCGCTCCATTGTCGTCCTCGGGGATGGGGCTCCCGGGAGCGCGCGGCGGCGCGGAGGCGGAGTGCGGTAGGCCGCGCCCGCGCCCGCGCCCAGCGCCACCGCTGCCGCCGATGCCGGAGAAGGAGGAGAACGCGGCGGCGTAGGAGGAGGGGAGGTGCGCGTGCCGCCGGGCGGCGGCGGCGGCTGCGGCGGCGCCGATGCCTCGCATGGTGGTGGTGGGGATGGGTTTAGCGCGCGATGCAGGCTAGGGTTGGGGCTCGCGAGGTGTTCGACGAAATGGGCTGTGGAGTGGGGCCTGGAACGAATTTCGATCCGGCGTAAATCGTGGCCGTTAGATCTCAGTCGATGGATGTATTTTAGCCGTCCGATCATCATTCTCGCTAGAAGATTTGAGAGCAATATTCCACTTTCACGTATGGTCACTTGTGCTTGTAAAATCAGTATAGTTACTAAGCTCCCACGAAATTGAGCTATCCGGTGCGTCGAGGGGTGTAGCAGACGTGTGGGATCATCCTGTCAGCCGGCACGAAGAGGTTGACAGTCGGTTCGGTCCACCTCGTAGTTAACCCGTGTTGTATGTATGAGCATTCCCTGAATTAGGTGACATGTTGTCTCAAACGATCGAGCAATCAACCAAGCACGCCAATGTCGTATCTATCCATTCTCATTGCCTCGATCTAATCTCCTCCGATCCCATCCCTTTGCATCCAAGCAAGAAAAATAGGCTCGTGATGCTTCTCTTCCAAGTTATGATGTTGCCAGAATCTTGGATGATGGTAGCTGGGAGGTTCAGTCCCCATGGCATAATGCTAGATATCAACAAAAGTTTTTTGAGATGGAACTATCTGTGTTTT